GAACCAGCTGAACCTCTTTCTCTCTCCTCCCCTTTCTCTTTCTCTGTGTGTGTCCTTCTCAACAACCCTGATTTTCAAATAAATGAGTATTATCTTTCCTATCTATAATTCAAGTACATGGTTGATAATCCTACTTTACTGAAACCTGTTCTATTTTATAGCGAATGACTCAATGTTAATATATAGTTCATAATGAAGCCAATGACAATGTTATTATACTACCAACTCTGTGTACTCCCAAATGTCTTACTAGTAATTAGGCAATTTTTCCCCCCAAGTCAGAGTAATCACCAGGTTTTTGTATGTGAGATTAGAATACGAGTTCTGGAAAGATTCTTTTGTTTTATGACACAGTTTCACAGGCTCTCAGACCCCCCAACCCTTCCCCGTGCCCTCCCCCCATGTTGGATTCCTCCACGTTCTCGCAGTATTACAGTTCATCGCGAGCATGTACCGTGCATAGAGTCCAGCCTCTCATTGTCCCGATTAAGTTCAACAGTTTCCTTGGGAGACCATCCCTGGTCTGAAAGTCGAGCTGGCAGAATATCACCCCCTCCAATGAAAGACCACAACATAACATCGACAACCATTTACAACACTATGGAGTTAACTGACATGGTATTGAGTGACCAATATAATAGAAAATGCAAGTTCGTAACCACATCCTGTGAGTACTTCATTGACATTTCCATTTTAGTTTGTACACAACCTGCTATTTTAAGGATGCTCTACACCTTAAAATGGTTATAGGGCACTATTCAGCTGTCTCGTGTCTATTTTCATTTTTATATTTAGCAGTTTGTAGTATTGAAGCATGATTTTTACTGACCTTGGTGAATTTTGGGATGGTACAAACAGGCTTCTAATTCTAAAAAGGCATATGTTAACAATTAAGGCACAGAACAGTTTTGGGAGGGGTGTGCAGAGAAATCTTTAATACCTTAGTGAGGAGTACCTAATTTTTGTGTCCTGCCTCGGAAGTATATGTGAGTCCAAGCTGACAGTTTCCTGTGTGTTCTAAACTTTCCTTATTGGTCTCTCTCTAATCTAATATATATAAAATTTTAAAAGATTTATTTTATTTTTACTGCAAAATCAGACATACAGAGAGGAGAGACTGAGAGAAAGACCTTCCGTCCAATGATTCACTCCCCAAGTGACCACAACGGCCAGTACTGCGCCGATCTGAAGCCAGGAGTCAGGAGCTCCTCTAGGTCTCCCACGTGGGTGCAGGGTCCCAAGGTCTTGGGCTGTCCTCAACTGCCTTCCCAGGCCACAGGCAGGAAGCTGGATGGGAAGCAAGACCACCGACCAGAACCAGCAACCATATGGGATCCTGGTACATTCAAGGCGAGGACTTTAGCCACTAAGCCACCGTGCTGAGCCCTAATCTAATATTTTTTTTGGGGGGTGGCCCCTCCGGAGCAACCTTGATGGTCATTGCAAGAGAGGGTGGGGATCCAAAGTTGGAACTAAGTAAGGACCAGAGAAAGCTCTTCTACCTAGTCCTGAAGGGAGTTTACGGCTGTTTCTGAGGACTGCTCAGGGCTCCTGGGTGTTGTTTCGATGACATTAGATCCTGTGAGGAAGCAGCTGGGCTTCTTCCATCCCTTGTGGGAGATCTGAAAGGGAGTGGATGACCTCAGAGTTCTTGGCCTACGAGGGCACTCCTCCACTGTCCAGGTCTCTTCAAGGCTCTGGATTCTGAGTGGCCATGGCAGTCCCCTATCCTGGTGGGATTCTGCCACCACCCCAGCACATACCCAGCAGACTTGGTGCCCTCTCCCTTGCTCCAGGAGGGGAGCAGGGCTCTGGAAGGTTCAGGAAGACAGGGAGAGCCAGGGGAGTCAGCAAGGGGCCCTGGCATCAAGACAGCCCAGGACAGAGCACAGATATGACCAGTGTTTGTCCTGACCAGGGCTCTCCAGGGGCTGGGAGCGTGGAGCCTAAACGCACGTGAGGAACCAGAGGGAGCTTGGCTGGAGCTGGATATGGGGACACAAAACAGGAACAAGTATGTCCAAAACAAACAGTTTAATGCAGGGTCAGAACAGGGGGTAAAGGTCTGAGGTTAGGGGTGAAGGGCTTGCCGGCCAACGGGGCCTGGCACAGTACCCTGAGTGTGGTCTGTTCAGGGCACTCTAAGCAACCATAACACATGAATGGCATCAACGCATGAGTTGGCCGAGGGTGACACCCCTCAGGGAGAGGGAACAGAAGCCCCTGAAGGGAGCTCTGTGCAGCATGGAGGCCAAGATGGAGAAACCGGGCAGGCTGTGAGCCCACTCTTGCAGCAGCCTGGAGAACTGCAGCTGCCCCAGGAAGCGGGTGGCAAGGAGGCCCCTGGCAGGTGAGGGCACCCATGGCTGTGGTCCTGGCACAGCAATGACTCCAGCAGGTTCCAGGCTGGGACTGTCCTCATGGCAAGGTGGGCTGCCAGGGATGCTCTGCAGGTCTGAGGTCTTGAGCCCCACAGCTGGGGCTGCAGGTGAATGAATGAGAGCAGGTGCCAGCCTGACTAAGGCAGGTGTGGAAGGGGCTGCGAGGCCCTGCTGGCTGCCCAGCTCTGGGGGCAGGCACTCTGCACCTTTGGCAGGCACACTGAGATGAGAGGTGCTGGCCCAGGAGGACAGGCTTCTCCCTTTCCATGCACTCTTGGGGCCCGGGGAGATGCCGGGGGCTCCCACACACTCGGAGGTCACCCCAAAAGAGTCGGAGCCCCCACACTTGGTGTTTTCTTCTGCAGAGTTCTCAGCCTCCTCCTCTGGGCTGCTCTTCAAAATCATGTGCAGGGAGGAACTTTCTGGAAGATGAGGCCCTTCTGGGTGAGAAGTTATCCCCTCAAGCTGCTCCTGTTCGGTTTCTGGAGCCATGTTGGAACATCTTGGAGTCTTTGGGGGAAGCACCCGCTCCAGAGAAACACGTGGCAGCCCCAGGCACAGGCTGCAGCACTCGTCCGGCTTTGCTGCAAGGAAAAGACAGAGGTTTGCATCTAAATGGACACCATGAGGCCTGAGGGTGGGGTCCCTGGGGACCCTGTCACATGGGGTGACACTGAGGACACCGTCTAGGTTACTGACCCTAGAGGGAAAGGTGTGTGCAGCTGAGCCAGCACGATGTCGGGGACACCTCTGACTCTGCTGGACAGACCCCCAGGGGTGCATGGCCCAACTGCCCTGCCTCTCAGTCTGAGCTCTGTGGACACCTGGCATCCCCTCAGGACCATGAGGTTGCTGCAACCTGAACCCCAGGCTGCCCCGTGCCCTGCCATGGGAATGGCTTAGTTAGGGCACTTGTGTCCCTCCTAAACGGCAGGGATGGCAGGGACCCCTCAGGTGCCAGAGGTAGGAGCTGGGACTTCAGGACAGATGAGGCCACAGGCAGGGCCCTTGGGGTCAGGACATGTGGCACACGAAAGATGGCAGGGCTGCCCTGAGGCTTCTGCCCTTGAGTCCCTGCCACCCAAGCACAGAGCACTGGCTCTTAGCTGGGACTCGCCATCAGTGCCTCTGTGCCCGAGGACATAGGAGGGCAGCTGCTTGGAGGCACAGGTGTGCCTCACCAGGCCCTGCACAGGCCTGCACCTGGGCCTGCCTCTGCAGCCTCCACACTTGGACAAACCCATCTTTGTTCTGCATGCTGACCCAGGCTCAGGTCAGCTACAGCAGCAGCCATGGACAACCCAGGGACCCTTCCCATCACTGCACACAGGAGGATGATGCTCCAGGTCATGCTGTCCTCTGTGCCATCAGAGACATGGGCACCAGGCTGGGCCTACAGCCCTGCACTCAGCTGCACTTTGGCTTTCGCATTGGGGCCCGTAGTTCCTGCTTCTGCAGTGGTAAAATGCAATGCCCACACATGGGGTCAGGGAACCTGGGCCTTCCAGGAGATCTCTGGTGGCAGCAGCACCAAGTGCCTGTATGCCTTGGCCCTTGCTTGTACAGGGTCAGCCACAACCTCATCTCTCTCCATCCCTGCCCTCACCCCTGTCCATGAGGCTCTGGGTGTTCAGCTGTGGTTGTCAGGTTCTGTGTCTGCACAGGGTTAATCAGGGAAAGGCCACTGATCACGTGGTAGGGAGTAGAAGTCCCAGGAGGGCCCTGCTCCTGTGCTGCATGGGGATGCTCCAAGAAGGCTCTGGCCTCCATCCCCACAGTGAGTTCAGCTGACCACCGGGCCCCACAGCGACCTTCAGGAGAGCCCCACAGCCTGGCCCACAGGAGTGGGGTGCTGCAGAGATGGGATGGAAAAAGTCATCACCGCAACCCTCCCTCGACCCTGATGAGCATATCTGGAAGCTGCCTGAGGCCCAGGCAGGCCGTGTGCTCAGAAGCTTCTCAAGCAGAACTGAGCAGCAGGGGGAGACCAAGGGTGACACAGAAGAGGCAGAAGACCCTGGGGCCTGATGGCCAGGCGTGGGCACTCCCACTGTGGACACCCCCAAGGGAAAATCAGGACGAATTCCTGTGCTGGGCTCACCTTGGGGAGGGAGGAGACAGTGCAGCTTCTCCAGTTCATGCTTCGAGGCCCGAAGCTGTTTGATGAAAACATCATCGTCCAGGGCCCAGGTCTGCTTCAGGGTCTCCTGGAGGAACTCCTGCAGGTGGTCCCGGGGCATCTTCAACAGGCGCTCTAGGCATGAGGGAGGGTGTCAGGCTTGGAGTGGCCACGGGGATGGCCCAGCAGCCACAGCTGCTCTGACCCCTGTCCCAGCCTGTGTAGGGGATGCATGCCAGCTAGGACACCCATGGGTGTCAAGGCAAGCATGGAGGGGATTAACCAGGGAAGAATGCCCTGTCCAGGCCTCCCTGTGGACTGTGCTGGGCTGGGGGATCCTCAGAGCCTACCCCAAGGTGCCCGAGAAGCAAGAGACCTCATCTTCCTGGCCTCATCCCTGCTCACTGGGGACGGGCACAAGGACCCAGTTCCTCATCCCCAGCACCCTGCCTTCTTGGGGCCCTGAGGACTTACTTCTATGAACCTTCAGCATCGTGTAGGCCATTGTGGTGAGCACATGCTCTCCTTCCAGGATGAAGATGTCCCACACCCTCAGTGCCAGGGGGAATGGAGCCTGGGGGAGAGAGCAGGGTCTAAGCAGGGCCACAGTGGGGAGGGTGTGCAGGGCCTGGCGAGGGAGGGGTGGTCACAGGAGTCCCATGCTCTACCACAGGAACTCATCTCACTGTTGGGTGGGACCATGGCTACTGCCCACTTCCCAGGTCACTGAGGGGCCAAGCCCAGAGAGGAGGGGTGAGACCCCATGAGCATGGCCAGGATCCAGGGCTCCAGCAAGAGCTCTGTGCCCTTGGGAGCTCAGGGGATGCAGGAGGCTCCACATCTGGGTGAGGGCCAGGGCTCAGCAGAGCCGAGCCCAGGCTACCCTGCAGGATTGAAGCAGCAGCAGCCCCGCTGCATCCTGGGGGACAGCCCAGGCCTAGGGGATCCCCTGCCTCCTCCTGCAGGCCTCTGGCCTTCAGCAGGATTCTCAGCATGTGTGCTCCAGGGACATGTTCAAGCCTGCTATCCCTGAGCCTCAGCCTCAGCCTGGCAAACCCTGCAGGGCAGGGCTGCCTAGTGGGCACAGCCATGCCCTCTAGTGTCTGCTGGAGCTACAGGAGCTCAGCCTACTGTGGGAAACTGGGTCCTCGGGGGGGGGGGTGGAGACTAATTACTGGGGCAGGAATCTCTCTTGGTAACGGGTCTCTTGGGGTGCACTTACCACATCCAGAAAACACTGTGTGAACCAGTGTGCAGTGCAGTCCTTGAGGTTCAATCCCTGCTCCTCCTGAGGAAGAGGCATAGGGAGGTAAGGGTGGTAAGCAGGCCTGAACTCCCCATGGTCTGGGCCCTTAGCAGGGCCTCAGGGTGCAGGAAGCCTAGTACCAGGTGCATGTGTACAGGCTCCTGAAGGGAACCTCCCCTCTAGTCCCTCTCCTTCAGGTTCCCTTAAATCTATGCAACCTCAGGGGACAAGCTTTGGTGAGAAAGTGACCTTCCAAACCATAAACAGGCTGGGGACTGCTTTGTTTCCCCATCACTGTGAAGAGAGCCCCCGCTGGAGCCAAGGAGGCACTTTACTCACCAGGTGCTGCTCGAGAGCAGGGAGGGTGCGGTGCACGACATCTTCCAGGTGGTTCTGCAGCATCTCCAGCTTTGGGAGTCCCGGTTTGTAGAGACCTGGGTAGGATCAGCCCCCAGCCCTCGGATCAGAGCCTCTTCCCAGGAGGGCTGCAGAGCCACAGGCAAGGGGCAGAGCCATCCTGAGCACCCAGGGGGTGAGGAGACCCTAAAGGGCCAGGTGGGTAGACAGATGGCCAGGGCAGAGGAGCCCAGAATGTGGGTACGGGGGCCAGGAGGAATTTGGGGTGCACAGTAGGCTGCCTCTGCTGACTGCTGGGGTGTCCACAGCCACTCTGGGTGCATCATCATTATTCCAATACTTGCAAATGAGTAGGGGGTGACCCCATAGCGGATGCTGCTTATGGAATTCCCTTGTGTGCCTCAGTGGGGTAGAAGTCTGAGTTCATACATGTGAGGCACAGAGGTCAGTGGAGACATGAGTCACATGGACAGACAGGACAGACTCACCTGCAGGTTCCCACAAGGGATGGTAGGGTCAAGGAAGCAGGATGAAGGGAGCGGGTATATGGCTCAGTACAGGAGACCTCTGTCAGGCCTGGCTTCTCAGGAGTCCTAGGGAGATACGTCCCCCACACCCAGGAGCCAGTGAGGGACTAAGACCCCGTCACCTGGCTTTGTGACCACGAGTGGACTTGCATGCAGTGCACACACCATTCCCATGCACTTACCGTACAGTGAGTATTTCCTGTTTTCCATGAGCTGGACCAGAGCCCAAAACGCATCTTCCTCACTGAGCCACATCAGTAATACAGCTGCTATGTGGCTGAGGCCCTGGCCATAGCCCCCCTCCTGCAAGAACCCAGAACACTGTTGAGTGCATGACTTTAAGCACTGGAGCATATACCAGGTCTCACAGTCCCTGGAGAGAAACAGGCAGGGCAGGAGCTCAGGCAGAGCTGGGGAAAAACCAGAGGCAAGGACACAGGTGCAACCCCTAGACCTCAGGGTGAGGCAGATGGCTGTGGGAATCCAAGCTCCACCCCCACGGAAGCCCCTGGAGCTCTGTGCTCTATGGGTGCCCTAGTGGGCACCATTTCAGACAGAAGGAAGAAGCACCAGGGTTTGGCCTGCCAGGACAGAGAATGGACACTTTATGGGTGTATATCCAGGCTGGCTACATGCAAAGGCAGGGTGTAGGGGGCAGGTCAGGAGGATGGGGAGGGCCAGTCCTTGCTGGGTTGCCCAAGGTGTCTGGCAGCTGCTCCCCTCATGGGAAAGATCTGAGTAGAGGACTCTGGCTATGGCACTTGTGGAGAGGAATTGAGACCAGTGGCACAGGCCATGTGTTTAATGGGTGCAATAGCATCTAGAAGACCCAGCCTCGATAGCGATGACCACAGCGCAGTCACACAGCTTGCCCATCCTCCTGTGGAATGGTGGTACTCACAGGACTATCTCCAAGCCTGCCTGCTCCTGGGATACATACAGCTGTCTGGGGGGGAAGGCACGCCCTTCTGTCCCCAGAACTGGAGACTGGGTTCACAGAGGCCATTAGCCTGGCTTCTGCATTTGATCTCTCAGTTGGGGCTGTCCCAACAAGCCAGCCCTGGCTCTCTGTGACAAGGGACACCCTGGGTGGACAGCCTGGGTATAGGACCTGGGGAGGTGATCCCAGAATACTCACGGGATTGTACACGGTGTAGGCCATTAGAACGTCAAACAAAGCCTTCTGCCTGCAAGAGAGAGGAGGCAGTGCTTCCTTCCCTGCTGAGGCTCTCAGTGCAGCCCTGCCTCCCTGACCCTGCCATTCCAGAGGGCCCAGGCCACTTCTCTGCCACAGAAGCAAGGATGCACTCAGGGCACCTGCCTTCTTGTTTCTCATTGCACTCTCTCTCTCTTTCCACAGTGTCTTTTTGCAAACAACAAGTGTTTGATGCAAATCAAGACACTGGATCCCTTTATTTGTATTTTAAATTAACTGCTCTGCAGTTCGTGCCCCACCCCAGGAACCCCATTTCCCCAGGACATTTACTCCTCCCTATCCCCTTGGAGCCACTCTAGCCCAGAGGCCTCACCTGGCTCCATAGCGTTCTTGGAACATTAGGTGACTTCGGAACGTCCCTTGCACAGCCCAGTTGATCTGGTGGAATTGCAGTGATTGCAGCCTGGACTGCTCCTTCATTGCCTGCAGGGCAAGGCCAAGGGCAGGAAGGAGCCTGAAGAACAGGAAAATGCCCCCTGCCATGCAAGCACCCCATCCACAGCTGCTCTTCAGGTGATGGGGGGGGGGTCCTGCAGGAAGCTCATTGCCCTGGGCGTCTGGAGTCTAGGGAGGATCTGGACCACCCATCTCACCTTAGCACATGTCACCCCCAGTGCCCAGCAGCCCTGCAGAGGGGACCCTCCAGGGGTCTCTGTACAGTGAGTGTCAGGCCAGGTGACTCTGCAAGGCCCCTCTGTGTTACTCCAGGCCACCCGCCACACATCCCAGAAACTCTTACCCTCAGCAACCTTCAGGCCCCAGAGCCTCCTCATAGCAGCTCAGGTCCTGACTATCCTGTTTGTCCCAGCTTGGCCAGCCCTCAGTGCCACCCCTGCAAGTGGGGCCCGTCCCCATCAAGACATCATATATCGTCCTTGGCACTGAGCTTTTCCTGGGCAATGATTAGTCTTCAAGTTCAGGTCCAAGGGTAGCACAAAATCAAGACAAGGCAGGGCAGGGCTGGCAACACCACTTGAGCCCTGCTCCCAGGGCGAGGCCAGACACAGGCAGGACCTGGTGACAGCACTGTCAGCTGAGGGCAGAGTCATGTTAACCCTTTGGGCGCCTCCAGCCACTAGCATCATGAACCCAGCCTCAGTACCTGCCCTGTGTCCAGCTGCCCAGGTAGGCCCAACAGGGAGAATGGCAGGGCCCCAGCAAGAAGCACACATGTCAAGGCTTATTTGGCTCTAGGGAAACTTGGAGGAGTCCCAGAGACAGCATCCAGAAAGATTAAGGCAGGAGGAGGCTCTGCACCCCAAAACAGGATCACCTACCATGGAATACCCAGTCTCCTGATCCAGCCTGAGTAGGTCAGGTGTATTGTGGGCTGAGTGCACAGTCATACCTTGTACTTCCCCACGTTCTGGGCTTTCTTCGTGTTCACATCAAGCATTAGCATCCAGACGTTTCCCCGCACCTGGCTGGGGATTCCTTTGTAGCATCTCCGATGGAACTGCAGGAGAGAGGAGATCAGGTGAAGGGGTCATGGCTGCTCCGGGAAGGGCATGCAGGGGCAGGTGTCAGGAGGGGGAAGACTCTGTCTGTGTCAGTAGGGGGAGGATCTGTCTGGAAGTGGTGACCCACGGTGAGAGGAGGGACAGGGCTGAGGGCACAGGCTTGCTATGCCTGCTCCCTATGGAGCATGAGGAGGCATGTGGGACTGCATCTGGGATTTTCCCCAGTGGTGACACTGGGTTGTGTACCAGGAGAGCCACCTGCATGAACGGTCAAGGGATGTAGGTGACCCGTGTCTACTCAGGACAGTTGCCCCAGGCATTTGAGAGGCAGGTGTCCAGTTCAGCAAAGGCTACCACCCATCCCTGCTCTGCTCAATCTCTTCCCCATGGACCCTCTCTTCATGGTACCTTCTTGCTGTCACAATATTTCTGATAATTCTTTAACATTTTGACCCACTTTTGGAGTCTCCGAGTTTCCATATGTTTCTGCTGCAAAAGGAGAGAGGAAGGATGGTGTGAGGTCAGCTGCTGTCCCCTGTGGATGGCCCCTGGATGCCAATCCAGAGTCCTGGGAGGAATCAAGGGAGGAGAAAGGAAAAGTGCAGACCCTGAGCCCCGAACTTGCTGCCTGGGGGAGCACCCAAGGCCTGGGTTCTGCAGCACAGCCTATCCTCAATGCTGAGTTCCTGAGCTACAGTCAAGACTGTCACCATCACACCATTGGGTCAAGGTGGCCATAGGCCAGGTTTCCCAGAGCTGCAATCAGTTCTGGGACAGGGGAGTTAGTGTCCCCACTCGGGCCTGTCATTTCTGCATGGGCAGGACCTCATGGCTTTCCCAATCATCACTGTCCACACCCACGGGCTCCCATTTTGCCCTCAGAAAACAGGCCCATGGCCAAGGCCTGCTTCTCACCTTAGTCCCCGGGATACTGGCCTGGGGCAGCATCTTCTCACTGGAAGGGAAAACAGGCAGATGCGAGGGAAGGCTCCATACAGACACTTCTACATCCACAGCAGGTTGGGGAAGAACCAGCATCCCCACCTCAGCCCAAGGGACAGAGAAGGGAATGGAGGAGGCAGCCATCCTGACAGCGTATAACCAGGAGGGGCGTTGACCGTGAGCACAGAGCATTTCTGCTCAGGCACAGACCCTCACTGTCCAAGGCTACTCCATGTCCCAAGTCAGGCCCACACCCAGGAGTGCAGCAGGGCCCTCGGCAGCAGCTGGGCTGCCCTGGGATGAGGGCATGAAGGGTCTGGGTGCCCCCATCAGCCATCGCCAAGAAGTGATCTGAGGATTCAGCAAAACCTGCACCTGCCCTGCAGAAGTCAGTGCTGAGAGTGTGCACCTGCCCATGAACAGGACACCATCACATCCTTTCTGGGTGTGTCCCCTTGTTCACCTTCCTCCCCGGTGCACTGCTCACCCAAATGTCAGTCCCAGATGTCAACTAACAAATGTCAGCTGCCCTCTATGTCCCTCATCTGACAGCTGAGACCATGACCACCCACTCTGGATGCTTTTCCTCCAGATTCTGTCTTACCGAGCAGCCAGAACCCCCCTGCTTAATCCTGGTCCTGAGGTGAGCTACAAGGACACACCCTGAAGCAGCTCGAGGTTCTGCCCCTCCTGGTGACCTGAGCCCAGCACCCCAGCTACAGGGCTTCTGTTACCCTGGACAACTGGGTGAACAGCCTCAAACTAGGTCCTGTATCACAGTCACCACTCTCCTCCAGCACAGCCAGAGCTCACCTGCAAGCCCCACCCTCCCCGTATGTGCTGTTGCATCCTGTGCTGCATGGAAGCCACAGCCCTGGCTGTCCCTCAGGCTTAACACCTCAGCGGGACGTTAGCATGGCCACAAACAC